TCGAGAATGAGAAAAGCTAGAAAGTTGAAACTTTGGGAGAATGTTCCCTACCCATGCGCGACTAAATGTTATCAAATTCAGCTGCCCAGGATTGCCCGGGGCTCAAGTACGGGCACGTGAAAATTTTGGCGCGAAAACTACTAAACCGGGGACGGGAAAGGCTAGAAGCCTGAAACTTTAAGGGAATGTTCCTTACTCATGTGCGAGCAAAATCAGGTGTTTAGAAGCATCCGGGGCTCACTTACGGGCACATGGGAATTTGGGCGCGAAAATCACTAACTCAGGAACGGGAAAAGCTAGAAAGCTGAAACTTTAAGGAAATGTTCCCTCATCATGTACGAGCAAAATCAGGTGTTTAGAAGCGCCCGAGCCCACGTACGAGCGCGTGGAAATTTTGGCGCAAAAATCACTAACCCAGGAACGAAAAAAGCTAGAAGGCTGAAACTTCAGGGTTGTGTTCCCTATCTATGTATGATCAAAAAATTTTAAATTCAGCCCCTTAAAACCGTCTGGTACTCACGTCGGACCTATCTATGTATGACCAAAAAATTTTAAATTCAGCTCCTTAAAACCATCTGGTACTCACGTACGGGCACAGTGAAATTTTGATGGGAAAACTGCTAACTCAGGAACGGGAAAAGCTGGAGGCTTTAATTTTAAGGGTATATTCCCCGCTCATGTGCGACCAAAAAATTTTAAATTTAGCTCTTCTAGAGTGGCCTTTTTTTGCGGATCAGCAACTTTCCATTTGTCGGGTCACTGAAGTCGACACCTACAACTGAAATACCACACAGTTAACTACTTTGATTCCTTGCGTTCTTGCTACGGCACGAGAAGTGCAAAAACGCATAATCGCACCGGCCCGCCTGGTGCGTTCCAGCCTGGGTTTACGGTACGAAAAGTGCAAAAACGCATAATCGCACCGGCCCGCCTGGTGCGTTCCAGCCTGGGTTTTGTAATAACATGGTCTTTCATCCGCGTATTCATTCTGCAGCACAGGTGCTTAATGAATAGATGAAAACCTACAATACGTCTAACGCTAAGAAATTGGCAATGGTCAAAGAAGCTTTAGAAAGACGCATGATGGCATCAACAAGGTTCATCACTGCAATTCCCGTCTCTCGTGAACAATGTAAACAAGATAGCGACGCCAGAATGAATGAGCTGGTAATGTGACAAAAATGAGAGACAGTAGACGGGAAAATCGGATCCCTGGATTGTACCCATGCAACACTCCTGCACAATAAGAAAGCTACCAATGTGGTGGAAGGATCTGTTTTACATTTTAATCGAGTTGCGTAAATGCAACGAACTCAAAAATAGGGAACTGGAAAGCTGCCAGATGTAACATCGCTAACGAGAAGCCTAACGACGAAACAACAGTTAATCAAATTATGAAAGTAAATAGGCACTCAATGTCCCCCAAGTTGAGAGAAGCAAAAAATTGCCCGTCAAATCTTCCTCGATTCGAAAATATAATAACTTCTTAATGAAATTCATTTTCTCGTAAAACACTTTACCGCCGTCTATGGGGTCCCATCGTTCGAGATGATGTCTTATCTTCAACATACAGCAAAAAAATGACTTATGCTCAAAACATTTCAAAACGGCCAAAGCCCTCCTCCCTCCCTCCCCCTCCTCCCTCAAAAAGAAAAAAAAATATACGTTGGGAGAATCGCTCAAGAGATGAAAATGAATGCCATGCCACGGTCAGCATCCTGACCCCTAAGTGATGTTACAACTGGCCAAAACAATTGAGGAATTGTCGCAGGAAAGCAACTGCTTCAACCATTCCAGATGATAAAATTTTGCGAAAACTTTTTCTCACCGAATTTCTTCCTTCTTTCGAGCTCTTTTTCTTCCTCAATTCTCTGGAGCAACGGCTTGATAAATTTCTTATAGATATAGAGCAACAGTAGTACTCCAAGTAAAGTAAACCAACCGAACCTTTCTAATAGGTCTGAAATACAGCAAATCCTGAAACAGTTTAATATTCAAAACGAAGAAAAATCCCGATGTTTAACCGGATACGGTAAGCAAAAAAACTTCAGGTTTTTCACTTTTCGGATGTACCAAATCCACGACTTATGAGAATCCAACAAAACAAAAGGACT